TTATCATGAAAGTTTTCAACTTTTTGGCTGGATTTTTTTAAATTTTTTTGTTTGAAGAGGAAAGAGACTTGGAAAGCTTTTGCAAAAGACTTACAGAGAGAGGGGAATGGAGAGAGGGGGAAAGACAAAGAGAGGAAGAGGCAGATAAAGATGATTATAAAGATAAAGAAAAAGAGCTATGGGAATGACTCCATTAGTCAGATCTAGAGAGATATAAACATACAGAGAAAGACAGGATAGAGAGAAAGAGAGAGAAATTGAGAGGGAGAGAGAGAGATAGAGATTGAGAGAGAGAGAGAGAGAGAGAGTGAAAGAGAGGGAGAGAGAGAGATCGATACATATAATTATAATCATGCTTAAGGAGAGTCATAGATATGAAGCGAGACATAGAGAGATATAAACGAGTAGAGATAGAGAGAAAGATAGGAAGAGAGAGTGAGAGAGAGAGAGCGAGAGAGAGAGAGAGAGAGAGAGACAAACACAAACCCACAGCCAGATGGATGGACAGCGAGAAAGTGTGAAAGAAAGAGAGAGAGAGAAAGAAGGGCTTTGAAATAGCTGACCGAGTCAGCAACTCTTCTATTCGATTCTCATACTCATTAAAATATTCCTATTCCTCATCTCAAGATTCGTGCTTCCAAGACCTCATCAGCAATTCACTATTTTATAGCTCGGCAATTTCTTTTCATGCGCCGCTTTTCTCCACTGCTTAAAGCCACCTTTGCTAATCCGTTGCCCGTCGCTCCAGCTGCCAGTGCAGCTGCGGCTGCAGCTGCAGCTTTGGCTCTGTGTGTGTGCCTAGCATTTTGGGTGCCTCATTAGCATTCGCAAATAGCTAAAAGCCAAAATCTAAAAAGAAAAGAGAAAACATCACTTGCCAGCGCAGAGTTTGCAGTTTGCAGTTTGCAGTTGGCCGTCTTGCGGCTGGCTGGCAAACGGCATTACGCATACGCCGCATATAACCACAAAATGCTACTGGTAGAGCGCGCCGCTGCTGTCAACCACCATATCTTTCACTTTTCTGCTTTGCTTTCATTTCTATGTATTTTTTTTATTATTATTTTTTTCTTCTTCTTCTTCTTCATTTTTTGTGGGCTGCCTGCATTTCCATTTGGATTTTTGCATAAGATTTGCTATCGGAAAAGAGCAGAAGAAAAGCGAGCGAGCGAGAGAGAGAGAGAGAAAGAGGGAGAGTGGCAGAGCGGCAGAGGGAGAGAAAAAAAAAATAATGATTGCGATTGAGCGACGGCTGCTGGTTTGGATTTTCCTTCTTGTGTCTTTAACATTTTAGTCACGTTTTATAAGGGGGCAAGGAGGCGATGGCTGGGCGAAGGGGTAAGCTGGGCCGGGCTGGGTGGAGATTTATACAATAGGCGTAACCAACATGGCGCAGCAGGCAACCGCTGCAGCACAAGTGCTTTTTGGCCCAAGTCGCAACAAAAGCTAAAGCTGAAGCTGAAGCTGAAGCTGAGGCAGATTTTTTTGCGCTGATGTCGAATGAATTTTTCACAGTCCGCAGCCAAAGCAAAAAGTTGCTGCTGCTGCTGCTGCTGCTGCTGTTGTAGTTGCTATTGTATACTTATATATTGTTTTGGTCAGGCAGCTGCTGCTGCTGCTGCTGCTGCTGCTGCTGCTGCTGCTGCTATCGTCCATCCATGGTTGCTGCCTCTTGCTGTGTTTTGGGGCTGGCCTTTTGGGTGTTGCCCAGCCCGACCCAGCGAGCCATGAAGAACCTGCTGCTGCTGCTGCTGCTGCTGCTGCTGCTGCTGCATTATAAATGCAGCTAGGTCTGTGCGGTTCTGGGAGTCGACTCGGCTGCCTGGACACACAATTATTGGCCTTTGTTGAGCGCGGAAAATGTTGTGCAAAATGCTTTGTACGTGCTTCGTTCTCCTTGCCAGCGGTCAATGGCTGCACAGTGGCCAAAAGAGATCCATGAACCTGCGATTGCGATTGCCATTCACACACAGCGCGCAAGCGAGACAGCCACGCCGAAGGGGAGCTGCCATGTCGGTGTGTGTGTGTGAGTGTGTGTGTGCGAGCGAGACACCAAATCATTTTGTTGACAGTGAATTTTGGACGCTCTTTCCGTTGCCTAGAGCTGACTTCGTGTCTCATCGTGCCACACCGCCGCCGCGTCTCGCCCCGCCTTTGTCGCATCTGCAGTAGCGGCAATTTTTCCACATCGTTACATAAATTTCAGCGCAAAATAAATGGCCAACGGTAGCCAAAAGTGCACTCAACAATATTTAAATTGCGACACTTAAGCGGCAGCAGCAGCAGCAGCAGCAGCAGCAGCAGCAGCAGCTACAGCAACGGCGGCGTCTGCAAACAACAATTTGTCGCGTTTTAAAAATGCGCCAGAAGCAACGAAGGCAGCGACAAAGGCGACAACCGACAACCGACAGCCGACAGCCGACAAACAACAAACAACAACCGGCAGCGCACAGAAGCTCATAGCGAATTGTTAATGCTCTGCCACAATGCAAAGAGCATGAGTTCCCATAGAGATCATCATATCGATTAGCATCTGCAGAGTTGCTTCTATATAGTCTCGCGCTATAAACTCTCCATTCATCAACAAACGATGCTCGATTCCCAGAACATTTCTTATCGAAACGTAAACTCTTTGAGCTCGTTAAGAGAATTCTTTTTACTTTTCTTTTTATTTATTTATTTTCTTTTTTTTGGAACAGCTGCTGCTGTTTTCTGAACGATTCGCAAAGTTTGCCAGCCAGCGTAAACGCCCCGAAATATGCGAATGCGAAGGCAACAAATGCGGCTGCTCGCTGGGGCGAGTTGATGAAGATGATGATGTAGCGAAGCAACCGTTTAACCTGGGCCAAAACGTCTTACGGACTGCAGCAACTGTTGTCGCTGTCGCTGTCGCTGCTGCTGTTGCTGTTGCTGCTGCTGCTGCTGCTGCGGTCGAACTCTCTGTCTGTCTGTCCGTCCGTCTGTCTATAAACGTCTATAACCTTCATTAAAAATTGTCTGCAGCGGCATAAAATGATTGATAACATCCGTCAATTTTGACATATGCGAGGTCTGGTACACAGCACCAGCCCAGCCCCCTCACACAGCTCCCCCCCTCCACGCTGCGGCCGAGTTGGAGTGGCTGTGGCTGTGGCTGTCGCTGGCTTCGGGTCTGTGGCTCTGGCTCTGGCTCTGGCTCGCCCGCTCTTTGCTTGCAGAATGAGTCAATTCGTCAATCAATCAGTGTGTCAGTCGCTCATTTATAATGCAGAGAGCGCTGGCTGTCAGTTTGTCAGCTTGTTCATTCCATCATTTGTCCAAGCATTCACTCACTCACACACTCACTCAGTCCGTCGCTCGCTGGCTCACCTATTCATTCATTCATTTTGGCTACTGACACTCGGGGCGTATGAGCAACGCGAAACTTGTCTTTAATAGCATTATTAATGCGCTCGCTTGGAGTTGCTTCTCACCAGGCTTAGCCAGGATGTGAGGCCGTGCCCTTGCTGCCTTGGCAACCCTTTGCACTTGACTTGACTCATTCCGCTTGCCTGGGCATATAAAGTGCAAAACTTTTTGAATGAAAATACATTTCGCACACACACACACACACACACGCACACATTCGGACAGACAGTCCAACGGTCTGACCGGTCTGTTACCTGAATGTGGAGCTGATGCTGCTCCTGCTGCTGCTGCTGCTGCTGCTGCTCCTGCTGCTGCTGCTGCTGATGATGATGATGATGACCACGCCTCCGCCTATACATATATTAGCTGTGGTCCCGGCTTAAATATGCCCCGTGGGTGCAGCAAGTTTTTTCCTTTGCATTTTTGGCCAGCGCAAAGCGGAGCTGCCTTTTGCCCATTGACTGATTGACCGAAGCGGCCAAAAGCAGAGGCAGTAGACGAGAGAGACGGAGAGAGGCAGCAGTTGGAGATGGGAACCTCTTGGTGAACTATGGTCTCTCCTCAGCTGGCGAGCTGGCGATTCAGCCCCCGGGCCGTGCTTGGCGTCTATCATTATACGGTTGCAGTTATCGGGGTGTGCGCCACGCCCAGCTCAGCCAAGGCAGCCCCAACTGGCCGCAGGGTGAAATCGAGCCTCGGCTACAGCTACAACTCCAGCTACAGCTCCAGCTACAGCTATAGCTCCAGCTATAGCTACAGCTTTAGCTTCTGCTTAAGTTTCAGCTTCAACTTCAGCTGTCAGCCAGCAGCAAGCAGCAAGCAGCAAGTCCCATTCACCATTCAAAGTTATTCACTTGTGCGCAAATATGCCACTCAGTCGGACACTCTGTTTGAAAAAGGTGCAAATGAGTGGGCAGCCCTCGGGTGCTGCCACTGTGTGCGTTTGCCAAATTTGTCTAAGTTGTTTTGCTTTTCTTTTTTATTTTTTTCTGAGGATTGGCCATAGCCACAGCCACGCCCCCTGCTCCTCTAACTCACTCACTCTCTCTCTCCCTCTCACCCTCTCTTCCTATCTCCCTCTCTCTCTCTCTCTTTTGTGCATTTGTAAATTATATGCGTTGCGTGCACGGTGCACGTCAAATGTTTGCGCCCAGACAAGCATTGCTCATTTGCTCACTCACACACACTCATACACACACACACGCACACATGTGCAAGCTTAATGAGCGTCGTCCGTCGTCCGGCTCCCTCCTCTACTTGAGGCACCTGCGAGGTGCTAATTTGCGCCTCAAAGGATTTTAGCGCTCAACAGTCAAGAGTGAGAGGGAGAGCAAGAGGGACAGAGCGCACATAATAACAAAGGTCAACAATAGCACTCGAGTTTCGTTTTTCACTCGAAGCTAATTTCGTGCAGGGAATGCCCGTAAACAGCTCCTGCAAATTGCTTTGCTCAAATCTCAAACTTTTCCTCTGTTCAAGTGCGAGAGGGAAGCACATATTCTCCCATTAAACAGTTAAATCGTCTGTTAGGAACTTCATTTATTTCTCTCATATTGATATTTTTATGTAGAAACAATCATCGACTATATTGTGATTCATTTGCATTTGCTTTACAGGTCGCAGCGAGCCGCCGGTCGGCGTGGGCGATCCTTGTGCCGGTTGCAATAAGCCGATATTGGACAAATTTCTGCTGAATGTCCTGGAACGAGCCTGGCACGCGTCCTGTGTGCGATGCTGCGAGTGCCTGCAGCCCCTGACAGACAAATGCTTCAGCCGCGAGTCCAAGCTGTATTGTCGCAACGATTTCTTCAGGTGAGTGAGCTGGCGACCCTTGACTGGCGTCAGCCATTTAAATCAAAGCTCGAACCAATCAATCAGCAAAGCATCCAGCCAGAGCAATCAATCTGATGAATAAAAGTCAAGTGTTGAGCGTTAGCTCGGCTCAGCAACGCTGGACCCTTTGGCTGTGGCTCAAGAGTCCTTTGTGCGCTTCCATTTGATTTCACTTTGCATAGGAAATTTTCTAATTGAAAATAAAAAAATAAAATAAAAATCAAAAGAAGAAGAAGCAAAATGAAATGAGAAGCGAAATCAATTAACATGCAAAACACCTGCACAAATCAAATGAAATCAAATGCAGCTGCCAACTGCCAACTGCCAACTGCTAACTGCTAACAGCCAACTGCCCATTGCCAATTGCCAATTGCCAACTGGCAGCTGACAAAGGGCCTTGCACAATGGGCAATGGTTAGCTCCGGACACTCTGGACACTCCGGACACTCTGGACACTGGCACAGCCAATCAACAACAATAATAGCCAAGACTCGTCGCCAGCTATCAGCAAACGCATTCACAATTCAGCTTCAGGGCATTTCATTTGCATCTTTTGTGACTTTAGCTGAAGCGCAAGAGTCGCTGGCAAACAGAATCGAAACTATTGAGCTTTAGAGCTACACAGCAACTGTAGTGACTGAGCTTTAAGTTGAGGCCTGAGCGAGTATGGAAATAGGGCTTAAAGGCAATTCCTATCAATTTGCCCTAAAGCCATTTAGGTCTGAGGGCTTGGCGTGTACAGCAAGTAATCAATCAGAAGAGTACAGTGTCAATCAATCAGTCAATCAGTTGCTCAGTCATTCAATTAGACAATCAATCAATCAGTCAATCAATGAGTCAAAGAACCGAACAGTGCTTAGTAAATCAGAAAGTTTAATCAGTTCAATTAATCAATCAGTAAGTCAACAATCCAAATCTATGATTCAATCAAATCAATCCGTCAATCACTAAGTCAATAATTCAAGTCTACGATTCAATCAGTTCAATCCATCAATCAGTAAGTCAACAATCCAAATCTATGATTCAATCAGTTCAATCAATCAATCAATCAATAAGTCAATAATTCAAGTCTACGGCTATTAGTCAGTCAGCCATCAGTCAGTCAGGCCATCGGTCAATCATTTACTCCATCAGATATTATTATTATTTGCAATCCATCAGTCAGTCAATAACAATCGATCAGTCAGTCAGTCCGCTAGCCAATCAGATAGTCCATTATTTAAGTCAATCAATCAGTCAATCAGTCAATGACTCTGTAGATTAATCAGCAGTCAATCATTCAGCTATACGATCTACAGTCAGAGAGTCCATCAGATCATAACTAAATAAGTCTGTAACTCTATCAGTCAGTCAACAACTCTATCAATCAAGCTGTATTGCAGTTGATAATCAGTCAGTTAAACAGTTCATCAGTCAATTAATGAATCAGTCATTCATTCAGTTGCACTACTAAGCATTCACTTGGTCAATCAGACAATCAGTCAGTTAATTCATCAATAGGCTTTTTCCGTCATTCAGAGTATCCGGCTAATCCAACAGTCAATAACTTTCTCCTAGCTATAGATAACTATAGCAACAGCTTAATCGTTCCCAGAAGCTCTGCTAAATAAGTCAACAGTATCAAGCATTCAACCAAACGCACTAATCTCTTATCTTTCCCGTTTCTCTGCTTCTCCGCTTCTCCGCTTAGACGTTACGGCACCAAGTGCAGCGGCTGCGGTCAAGGGATTGCGCCCTCGGACCTGGTGCGTAAGCCGAGGGATAAGGTGTTCCACTTGAACTGCTTCACATGCTGCATTTGCCGCAAGCAGCTGAGCACCGGCGAGCAGCTCTACGTGCTGGATGACAATAAGTTTATCTGCAAGGACGACTATCTGCTGGGCAAGGCGCCATCCTGCGGCCACAACTCGCTGAGCGGTAAGTGCGGCCCGGCCGAAAATCGTAAATCTCTTCCGTTCGCTGGGGGCTCATCTATGCTAATTGCGCCTGCAGGGCGCGCGAGCGGGACGAGGCGAGTTGAGGTGCTCCATGTGCTCCATGGGCCAGCCAGCATCAAGCTATGCCCATTGTTTTCTTTTTTTGAAGGGGCGGTCGCCTCGCCTCTAATGATATCAGCTATAAATACAAAATTGCGCATACGACGCGTGCAACAAAACACACTGCAGCGGCCAGGCGAGCGGCGAGGGGCGAGCGGGCGAGCGGGCGGATCGAGGGGATAGCTGTTGACGCTTTGGGTATATTTAGGCGCAATTTGCAATAGTTGTTGTTGCTGTTGCTGTTGCTGTTGCCGCTGCTTTGGGCAAATATTTTAATTTTTAGCCAACGCCGCGTGGCGCTGCATTTGTTTGCACTAATTGTTTATAGTTTGATATAGAAATATTTGCCATTCAAATTATCGTGGGAATAACTTTAAGCTTGTTATTCTAATTCTTGATATTAGTGGCCGGCATTGTTGTTGCTGTTGTTAATTCGCTTTGTTGCCATTGAATTATTTTGTATTTATTTATTTTTTTTTGCTTCTTTTTCATTTGATTTTTTATTTTATTTTTAAGTTACTCAGCAAACGTTTAAGCGTTCGCAGCTAAATGCTTGGCAAATATTTACACAATACGCAAAGCGCATGCATAGAAATACCAGGCAAACACACACACAAACAAACACGCACAAACACACACACAGTCAGACACTTGACGTCAAGTTGACTTAAGTTCAACAAAATTCGTAAAGCGTTTTAAATAGCAATAATAAATTGTGTTTTATTAAAAGCATTTTGTTTGCATATGTGAAACGATTTTTCTTAAGCTCAAACTGGCTAATGTGGCGCATATTAGATATAAATAAAATATAATATATATGTATCGTCAGACAAATCAAATAGCTTTTCCCATTTACATCAGCAATTTCTCTCTGTCTGCCAATCGAAATCATTTCCTTTTGGCTTTACTTTGGCTCTGCTTCAAATATTTTTAGCTTTGACCTTTGCGAGCGAAAACATTGGCTGTTTATCTTAGTGAGCACTGACATACCCTACAATAGTGAAAGAATAAACTACGATGCTGAAATATATCCAGTCAATTTTCTATATATTTTGATTTCCATGCAAGCCAACAAATTAATTCTGAATTCACTTGAGTCTGCAGCTGCTTTAATTGCCTGGCAATCGTTTTCACTTTTGCAGCCCGCTTTAAAGCCCAAAAAAGCAAAGTTGGCTAAGGCAGACGACGGCTCGCACGGCCTCGCACGGCCCTGGCTGAGGCAGTCGGGCTCAGAGCCGTCTGTAGCTTAAAGGTTCTGCTTTAATGTTGTTGCTGCCGAGCGACATAATTATGGGGGCCAATTAAAGCTTTAAATGCTGAGCACACGCACAGAGTGGGCGAGAGAGAGAGAGAGAGAGAGTGTGTGTGTGAGAGAGAGAGAGAGCGAGCGAGCGAGTCGGTGACTGCTGTCACACGCAGCAACGCCTCGCATTTCCTTTTTGGCTGCCGCAGAATATTTTCATTTTCATCATCTTTGTTTTTCGTGTTGCTGCAATAATTTTAAATTTTACAGCAATTGCTGTTGCTGTTGCTGTTGCTGTTGTTGTTGTTGCTGGCAGTGGCTTTTGGGATATATTTTCGTAGCATACTTAGCGGCGTTAAATATTTCAACGCTGCCATTTTTGTTGGCGCTGCTCGCTGCTTGGGGAAAGGAGCGACGGCAACGGCGACGCCAGCGGCGACCGAGCGCCGAACACAATAGAGAGCGAGAGGATGAGAGAGAGAGAGAGAAGGACAGCGAGAAAGAGTGAGAGTGAGAGCAAGAGCGAGAGCGCGAGCTAGCTCTGTCAGCTTTCTCCTGGCAGCTGCGCACTCGCACGCATCGCAGGGGCGCTGCAGCCTGGCGTCTGCGCAGCGACGTCGCTGCCGACGCTGGCAGCGCTGGCTGAAATATTTGCCTTGCGCTCAGCCACAAAATGGCTGCGCTGCGCCTGTATTTTTATATTCATTTTCGGTTGTTTTTTGCCTTTTGTTTTCTGGCTGAGAGCTGCTGCCCCAATAAGTAGGCATGCTTTATGGCGCCTTACACACACACGCACACACACGCACACACACGTGTACACACACTCACATGCAGGCAATTAAACAACATTAAGCAGCTGTGAGAATATTTTGGCTTGATTTTATTTCGGACATTTTTTGCGTTACGTTGGCCAAATTGTTGACAGCGTCAACGTCGCTGCTGCCACTTGCCTGTATGTGTGTGTGTGTGTGTGTGTGTGTGTATGTGTGTGTGTGCTCACGTGTACGAGCTCTCTAGCGCCAGCGCTGACGCCAACGCTTACGACGACGCCAGCGCCGACGCCGGCGTCGACGTCCTGGCACCGAGCGTAGGTCATTAATGTTTTGATTTTAATTGCGTTAATTACGTGCAACGGATTTTTCACTTAGTGCTACGGAAAAGCGGCGCTAAATGCAACGCGAAAAACGCCGTCGGAAAGTGCGTAGACAAAACGTAAATAGATACGAAAAGAAACTAAGCCAATTGCGTATACGCCGCATTGCACCGCCGACTAAATGAAACAGCTATAGCGAATAATAATGCAAGCAAACACCAAAAGAAATATCGATGAAATGAAAAATTGAAGCGTGAATTTATGGCTTGTCATATAAATTAAACTGTTTGTCGAGCGATAAACAATGAAAAGAACAGAAGGAAACTGAATAAAGTGAGTGAGAGAGAGGCCGAGAGAGAGAGAGTGAATGACCGAGAGAGAGAGAGAGAGAGAGGGAGAGAACAAGTCAAGTGCTGGGGAGCAAGTGATAAGCCACATAGATAAGAAACCAAACAGAAGTTAAATTTATGAAAGACATTTATAGACTAGAATGTTGAGAGAGAGAGAGAGAGAGAGAGAGAGAGAGAGAGAGAGAGAGAGATAGAAAGAAAGAGATATAAGGAAAGCGAGAAAGAAGAAATATGTGAAGGATTCTAAGAGACCGAAAGACGGGCAAAAAGCGACAGAGACAAAGAGCGACACAGAGAGACTGAATTAATGAGAGAGAGAGAGAGAGAGAGAGAGAGAGAAAATCAAATTAAAGAATGAAGTTTTAGTTCGCAAAAGATTAGTGAAAATAAAGCTAAAACTATTTAATATCTCACATATCTCGTATGTGCTGGATTTCCAAGTCTCTTTAGAGAGACTAACAAGTCTCAGCTCTAGCTGAATGCCTATGCATACATCACAAGAGTTCTCTTTGCTATATGCTAGCCACGACACGAGTGTTAAACTTAACAGTCAACAGCTTTTAGCCTAATTGTCAGCCCAATATTTTCTTCATTTATATTTATTATTATATATTTGGTTTATTTATGAAATTACAACAAATATTTCTGCACATGCCAATTGACGCAGCTGACCAACAAAAACAATAATATTTTCAGTCAGCAGTTTGACTGGCTGTTGTTGTTGTCGTTGTCGTTGTTGTTGCTGTTGTTGTTGCTGTTGTTGTTGTTGCTGTTGGCTCTTTAAAGCCAAATCCTGGCCACATTAAATTGTGCTCAACGGCAATGGCAAAGTTCAAGCCGACCCTTTTGGCCAGCTTACAGTTTACAGCTTTCAGCTTCCAGCTTACCAACTTGGCCCAGAGGCTGTCGTAGCTGCCATTGACCATTGTTGTTGTTGTTGCCGTTGTTGTTATTGTTGTTGTTGTTGTTGTTGCTGTTGTTGTTGCCTCATGGCCACATGAAAAATACCGCAGATTTACGGTTGTCGTTTGGCGGTGCACATAATATATAGTATGTGGCTTATGTGTGGTTCTGTGGCTCTCACTCACCCACTCTTCCACTCACCCTCTCTCTCTTTCTCACTCTGTTGGGTGCTTGTGTTCTGGTTGTTGTTGCTGCCGGCTGCTGCTGCTGCTGCTGCTGTTGACCGTTTGGGGGACTATTTTTATTTGCAGTTTCAGTTTTTGCAACTGTGGCAGCAACTGTTTGTTGTTGTTGTTGTTGTTGCCACTGCTGCTCGTTTCGGTCAGTTTGTTGTATTTTATGTGGCGGTTTTTTTCGCCTCTTTTTTTGGTCATTGCTTCAAAAAAAAAAAAAAAAAAACTTTATGGCCACCTTGCGTGTGCCCACCCTCCGGCCAGTTGCCTACAGTCATGTGTTGGCTACACACACACACACACACACACACTCACACACTCGTAAGCGAAGAAAAATAAGAAAAACCGTTAAAGTTTATTTGACATTTACTTGGGCTATTTTTTATTTTTATGACTCTTTGGGTTATTTTATACACACACACACACACACACACACTTATATACATATATGTGTGAGAGTCAAGAGCATCGTATGACCAAAAGCCGAAAGTCCAACTAAACCCATCTCAGCAGTCGGCGCGGCAGCTGTAACCTCTTTTCTCGCATATTTTCACATATTTTTCTGTTGGCTTCTCTTTTTTTTTTTTTTTTTTTTGTTTCTTTTTCATTACGTTTCGGCATTTTTGGTTTTTTTTTTTTTTTTTTTTTTTTGCCCTTTGGACAATAAATTTGCGGCTATTTTTCGCCCAAAATAAATAAAAATAAAATAAAATTTGATGCTGGCGAACGATGCTGTTGCGGCGATAAGTCTACAGTCCCGCAGTCCCAGCCCCACCGGCTCCCTACTGACCTGGCCTGCCCCCAACTAGCGTCTGCCCCGCTGTCATATCTAATGCCAGACGCATTCGTAAATCATTTGCTTAAACACGCGTTGCCAACTATTTTACATAAAAGGCGCTTTGATTTGTGAGCAGCGCCAACCGGAAGTACTATATAGCCATTTTTTCTTCTTCTTCTTTTTTTTTTTTTTGCTGCTGCTGCTTCTTCTTCTTCTGCTTCGTTTTGTGTGAGTCGTAAATCAAGTGAATACTCGCCGGCAATGCGAATGAATCAAATGAA